ATTGCGGTTTATTTTACAGCAAAAAGGTCTCTTACTATTTTTAAATGAAATTAGGGGTTATCAGAGCCCCTTACGGACGCCTATATTCTGTTTCTATTTTCACAATAATTTGTAAAATCGACAGAGCTTTCCATTCATACACTTCATACTAAATAGAAAACAAATGGCTTTCATGGCTTAAGAAAAAATTAAATAAAAACCAGAAAAAAACTGTTTCAAGAGCTTATATCTCTAAAAGGAAGCCTTTGGAAGAAAAAGTTTATACTTCAAAATGACATGGTTTTGACGAGATCTATCGATAAGGTAAATAAATGTACCAGTAGTCGTCAGGTTTCAGGTTAAAAAAGTACCAAAATTACTGCCAGATGTCATTATTATTTTCATTATTTTGTCGACCATAATGGAGAAGTTTTATTAAAATATTCCATGATTGTCATGAAAATATTTTATACCTGCGAATGACCGTCACAGTCAACGAAACTGGAATACTTTATTTAAAAAAATATTTAATATAAAAACAATAAAAATACTTTTAGAAGTCTGTAAACATTTTACCACTAGAAGTTTGAAACATCGCTATAATATTTTATTCACAACCTTCGCATATTTTTAAATATTATTATTAATTATATTAATAATTATTTTCCTTTATATTTTCAATATTTTATTGGTTAGGTTTCTCTGGTAATTGATTTTTTTCTATTTGCTCATTTTATCTCTTTTTTAGCTTTGTTCCTTCTAATTGTTACAATTTTTTATATTTTAATTTGGTTTTTGCTCTTCCTTTGACGTTGCCTCAAAATCCCTCAATTTATTTTTTATTTTGATAATAATTTGAAGCCAATAAAGTTCATTTTTAAAACTAGAAGAAGAAGTGAACTTGTCTTGTCATTTTGTATAAATAGAAAAAAGTACATTTATAATAATTGCAATTGCTTTCATCATTTCATTTTATTATTGTATCTAGAAGTAATCTACTTGTCGTCACCTCTTTGTCCCAGTAATGGTCAGTAATTTATAAAAACAGTTATTTCTTTTAAATTGATGAATATTATTTATCCCATACATGTACAAGACAAACTGTATATTTTTGTAATTTATATTTACCTAATTGTTTTATCGCCAAATGTTATAAAACCCTTAATGATAAAGAAAATATTTACTAGTGATGAATACTGGGTCACTGACGATTACTGGTACGTATACATTATTGCATACGTTTTTCTAAATTCAACATACATAACGCCGCTGTAGAGGCGATTTTAGGGAATTTTCAAGAAAAAAACAATACAAGATCAGGGACAAAAAGTCTTTATTGTACATGTTTTCAGATATTGTAAATTTTCTCAAAAAGTTTAGATTCAAAATTTCGGCTGTAGGTGATGGCAAGCAATTACACCTTTTTTCAGAGGGTTGTATGACCGGAAATGTTTCTTAGTAACGGATGGTCTTACATCAAAAACACAAACATTTTCTGATATTATATACTAAAAGTTAGGAAACGTCGTAGGGAAATTAAAAAATATTAATAATTGTTGAGTAAGTGAACATTCAAAAAAGAAGTATAGAAAAAAGACGAAAAATATTGCGTTAAATTGTTAATAACAATGAAAATTGTCAGTCATTCGGAAAACCCCTACTATGTTCCCTGAGTTATGTTATTGTAAAGGTGATGTTTCCGGCTAGTTAGAAAAAGTGGTTTCTTGAACACGCTTTTATTGTTTTTGTTGCCATTCAGCATAAGAAATTCGATACAGGGTCGGAAAGTCCCCATGGTTCATCGGCCGTTACGTGAGAGCGATAAAGTAAGCCATAGAAATCCATGCGACAAAGAAAGATGGCGGTAATGAAGGCGTCTAATAGCCACCGCCCATTTCGCCCTTCCACAAATAAGAAGTGGATCTTATTTGTGAAAGGGCGAAATAGGCGGTGACTTTTAGACCCTTCATTATAGCCATCTTCCTCTATCGCACGGATTTATATGACTTTCTTTATCGCTCTCATTTAACGGCCGATGAACCAAGGGGACTTTCCTACCCTGTATATGTAGCCAGCGATGCTGGCACCATATAGGTAATTGATCTTCTTCATCCTATTCTTTTCGGCTTTATCTGAGACTCTTAACATAAAAAAGCATTGTTTAAACCATTTATCCGAAAATCGTTTTTTTCAAAATTCTAGTGGCGTTACCCCTTAAAGAATGAATTATTTTAATTTCAATCGACAAAATTAGTAACTTGCTAGTTAAATTGATTATCTATCGATAATGTTCTAATAATTCAGAACTTTCTTCGATACGCACAGAAGTACAATTTAAATTTGGACCAATTCGACAAAATTAATAAGATAAGCAAAATTCTTTTTTACAACAATATTTTCAAACGTTACTTGAGTATCTCATCCATCCAGTATCCAGGTCTTTAGAAAGCATAATTTTCCTGTACTTCCTGCTATCAAATAACTATTATTATCTGTCATTATGATCGAACTCAATGGCATTTTTATAAAGCAATTTGTACTTTCGTGTTCAACTGTAGTAAATCAATACTAATGGAAAAGATTATTTACTATGGAAAGGAAGAAGATTCGTATCTACAAAACTGGATTGTGTGCATCAAAATCAGATATAAACATAAATTACAAATCACTATTCAACAAAAAAATCAAATCTAAATTAATTTCTTGTTAAGTAGGTAGTATTGATCAATAATTTTTTCTTGTGTTTAAAAATGTATTACCTACTTATTGAAATTAAATCAATAACTATTTAGTAGTTGAAATAGTGCAGTTGATAGATTATTACTTACAATTAGACATATTGAAAAATAAAATATTATATTATGGTAACCTAAATAAAGATGATTATCCCATATTTTTCATTCATAAGAAATGTTTCTACCATTTTCGGCAATGTATCGATCACAACTTTCGTTTAATATTTGCTAACACTTTGCTAAGTAGGTGAGAGTATTATCACTATAAGAGACTATTTAAAATGTAGATAAACTTTCACATTCTTAAACTATTTACTGTACATAATGTTGAAGATGCTCTCGTATTGATTAACTTAAGCAAATAAGTATAAGATTTTTTTACATACTTGTTTATTTACCTGCACGAAATACGGAGACAACTAAAGTCTACCAAATATTGCATAAGTTTGTACCGTTCTTATTTAATTTAAAACTAATTTCCTTATATGTAATAAAGAATATATTCTCCCCAATTTACTTTTCAACGAAGTGAAGAATTCGCCAGGTCAATTTTTAAGTGCGACATCTTGATTAAAGAATATTCCTCGGAGATTGATTAATAAAAAGCGGAAAATTAGAAAATCTAAAGGAGCAAGGTCAGCAGAATAGAACGGAAGTGGAAAACCTCTCAATCGGACAACAGTATCATGCTCCAAAATCACTCGATGATATCTTCTCAGTCTTGTTTCTTGAATTTCTGCTCCAAAGCAATAGATTTGTTGGCATTAAACATCAGCAGTGATGGTTACATTCCTAGGGGGGGCAATGCACAGTATCACCAAATGCACATCATCTTACGTGGATGAAAGCCAACTTTTGCCCTGGAAGTTGTCTTTCTGTTAGGGCTAAGCTATTATTTTCTGTTCTTGACGTTGACTAAAGGCATCATTTTTTATCAACTGTTACAATCTGGGACAATGAAAGGTCGATTTGTTGTCAAACTAAATGAAGCGCAAATATTGATACGCTGACTTCTTTTATTTAAATATGCAGCACTCGTACTGATGTGAACCTGGCACTAGAGATTTTAAAACATTTTTTTGTATGTTTTATAGATTATGGTAGTTGTTTGTAATACCATTTTTTTGTTTTTAGTAGCCTGAATAAAAATTATGGGAGCTTTAAAAAATATCTACCGAATTTGATAGCACTCAAATCTGATGATGGTTGATTTTAAAGGACAATCGTTTGTAGTTAATTGCAGTGAACGAATTTTCTTTTGTGGTATTGAAAAAAGTTATAGTTATATTTCGTGTGTAGTTTCTTGGAATTCGCCATAAGTACCCCAAGCTGTAGATACAAAATAATTTCTTTGTAGCAATATTTATTTTGTTATAGTTCTTCGAAGTTTAACATATAGTTCCGAGCTGTGTTTAAAATAATTTTTTTATTCTAATTAATTTCAATTTCATAACGTAGAGTCACTAGTTTTCCAAGCATTGGCTCTAAAACAATTTGTAATTTTTTGTAATTCCTTGAAATTGACGTATGGTAAATTAAATAATAAATATCCAAGGTAAAATCATATTTTGTTTCTGGTAGCAGCGTTTATTTCGTTTGTAGTTCCTCAGAATCTAATGCAGTCATTTTCTCTAAGCTCTAACTCTAAAATCGTTCATAGTAGCTTTTATTTCCTTTGTAATTCCTTAAAATTAGACGTATTGTCAATATAATTCAAGATATGTGTCTAAAATGCTTTGTAATAGGGTTTTTAGTTTATAATTTGTTAAAATTTTACATATAATCAATATAATCCAAGGTTCGTGTATAAAATCATTTGTAATAGCGTTTATTTCTTTTGTAGTTTCTCGAAATCTAACGTAGAATTATTATTCTCCAAGCTCTGGCTATAAAATCGTCTGTATTTGTTTGTAGTAATGTTTATTTCATTTGTAGATCTTTTTTAATGTATAGTAATACATTTTAGCCATTTTCTAATAAATTCCATATAACAGCAACATTAGAAAGTAGTAGCTACCTATATGAATTTCAAAATTTCTGTTACAATTTATTGTAAACAATTTTGGTAGATATTAATAAATATTGTACCTGTATGATATTACATACTGCATTTTTCCGTGATAATTAGTTCCACTTTATCTTTAGCCTTGAAACTTATTACATTCAAGACTAATCTCACACTCTTAATTTTATTTAATTGGCGAATTCTTCTTTTTCTCATAATTATATTACATGGCAGTGTTGGTAAATTTGTAACCTACATTTTAAATAGCCAAAAAAGGAAATATGAGAAATAAACAATTTTTGAAGGAATTGCCAGTAAGTTCATGTGACCAAATACAGGTTTGTTCTTTATTAAATTGTCATCATTCAAGTGAAGTAATTAATTTTAGATTGCCTTCCATCAATTTTACAATGTAAATGTAACTTATGTTTTTATCTCTCAAGTCAGTTAATTTCGCCAGTACAATTTTAATACAAGATATTATTTTAGTTTCTATCATCATATTCAATGTTATTAAATTTTAGGTTCTACTTAGTTGCTTAGCAGCTTCGGCGATAGCAGCAGAGGAACAAAAGAAAAAGGATGATCGTGGCAAAAGAAACTTAGAACAGCAAGTGTCGCACCCCTACGCAGGACCACCCTCTTACCGACTAGAGAGGAGGATATCTTTGGGGCACCATCCACTGTACCCTCCACCACAGTTCTTTCCAGGCCCTCCCCGCCCTCACTCGCCGTATCGTAAAGGTAGACCACATTCTTATCCTGTTCCTCCTTACGCAGTTCAAATGGAACCTCTTGTCCATTATTCACAGAGAGATCCTTTGTATGATAATAACATTTTCTCCCTGAACACAGATCCACACAACGACCTGGCCGGAGATGACCTACTAACAGAAAACAACCATATCCGCGAACACGTACACGGTGGCCACCATAGTTATGGACCACATAAACCTCACATCATTGAGAGACCCGTGTACATCAAAGAACCTGAACCCATCATCGAAATCATCATCAAAGAATCTAATGTCAGCTTGCCGACTCCACCTCCTCCACCACCACCAAAGAAGAAAAAAGAACAAGTTCAAGTATTCTACGTGAAGTACAAGAAAAATCCTCATGGCATTGGAAAAGACAGCGTTATTTATGATAAACCTATTCCAGCTATTTCTCCTCAACTTCCGGAAGAAGAAGAACAAGAGGAAGAGGAGGCTCCCTACAGCTACCAACATGAAACTGCTACTGCACTTCCTCGTCCTACTACAACTTTGAGAACTATTATAAAGCCAGATTCCGAAATCTACCACAGCCCTAGTGGTGTGAAAGTTACTTTTGGTAAAGAAGGTTTCGATTACAGCAAAAGATCAAGTAAAGCACAAGACTATAATCCATCTGAACCAGCTCCACAGTTCCCCCAGGGAAGACAACTTTCTTCATTTTCAAATACTTACTTCAAAAGACCATATACTAACCAAAATGCCCAAGCCCCTCCTCCCCCAGGTTTCAGGGCGCCGCAGCCTTACAGACCTTTTGTTTTCCCTCCACAATCCCCACCAAACTACAAACCCGGAGGGCGACAATCTCCCCCTCAGTTCCCCCCTCAACAGAAATTTCCATTTGCACCTCCACCATTTACAAAGCCTATAAGTCAACAATATTCTAGCGCTCCAACCAGACATTCAGCACCACCTTCTCCTCAATTTTCACACACCATTTCACACCCTGCCCCTCCAAGTTTCCAAAACCCTAGACCGCCACTACCACAACAACGGCAACCTGTACCCTACAAACCCTTCGACTATATAAGACCGCAACAAACCTTCACCCAACCGTCACCCCAACCCAATCTACCCCCTAGCCAGCCTCCTTCTCACATCAATCCTAATTCACAGCAACCACAAATTCAATTCAGACCAGAAACTCATTTCCCCATACATCAACAACTGCCATTGCCCGAACAGTCTCATATCTTCAACCCCAGATTTAGCCAACAGGAACAACTGCCCCCATCTAGGCTCCAACACCAGCAGGTTCAGTTGCCTCAACAACCTCCACAGCCCCAACATCAACAAGTTCAGTTGCCTCAACAACCTCTACAAACTCAACATCAACAATCTCAGTTATCTCAACAACCTCTACAAACTCAGTCACTTGAACAAACGCATTATCAACATCAAATCAACCATAACCAATACAATAATGACAAACAGCAAAATAATCAGCAAAATGCGATCCCTCAGAATGAACATCTGAACAATTTGCAGACTGCCCAAAATATTTTACCTCCAGGAGGACAGTTAATTCAATCAGTTCCCAAGTATGAGCAGCACACCTCTGAAGTGCAACCAATAAACCGCCAAGAAAATCTACGGGGGCTATCTCCACAGGATTTTCAACAAAAGATCCTCCAGCAATTTAATTTCAATAATGGTGCAGCGGATAGCAAACAACAAAATTCCCAAGAAGAAGCGTTCCAACAGCAGCAAAAATTACAGGAACAATTCGAGCAACAAAAGAAACAACAAGAGCAGTTAAGAACTGCTCAGCAATATTATCACAATGAGCAACTGACACAGCAGAGAAATCTGCAGAAACAAACGACACCTAGAACTATCCACGAACAGACTAGACGTGCCCAGCTGTACGTTAGTAGCACACCAAAAATAACTTACCAAACAACCACGACGAAACCATCTACAACTACGCAAGAGCCCGAGAAACCTTCAACGACGACGAAAGATCCTAAAATACTAGAAGCTCAACTTCCCGATGAAGTTCCAGATGATCTCAGAGAACAACTGCTGTCTTCTGGCATTTTGAATAATGCTGACATATCGGTGTTGGATTACGATAAAATAGGAGACATTCCTTTGTCCGCGTTGCCACCGGATCAGTTGGCCAACTTCTATGGGGCTGGTGGTGCTGCCCAACTTACCGCAGGTATGATATTTTAGCAAAATATGAAGTATACAGGTGTTTTATAATCAAAATAAAAATATAGTAATGACAAAAGCTTGTGAATACAGAGTGTAAATATTTTAGTTGATTAATTGATTCATCTGGACTCCAGTCGAATTAGAGTTTGAACGTTAAAAAAATTAGTAGTAGTAGTATTGCACTTTATGACGAGGAAGAGTAAGTAGAATGATAATATCAAAATAGTAGTTCGAAAGAGGTGAGAGGTGAAGTTGGCAAATTGCAAATAAGTTGCAAGATTACGTGTTTTTCACTTTTCTTACTGCTCATGAAAATCTAGACGACCTATCTGAAAAGTAGCCATTTTATGTTGTAAACAATTAAATTACCTACAATTTAAGGTATCTAAAGTCATATTTCATCTATTTGTTAACTGTAAAATAAAGGTCGAACGTGGAAAAATTAGTTTTCTAAAATTACGTATTATCATGGCAAAAAGCAATAGATCTTGATGAAATTTATGGTGGTCAATCCAATGATCAACATGTGTACTAAAGATCGATTCGATTGACCGTGAAATTATTGCTCCAAATATTTGTTAATTAATTTCGTTTACATTTTTTGCAACTAATTGTTTAATTACTAAACGCTAATTTCAGAAGTTAATATCATAGATATAGGTTTTCATTGATGGGAGTTTTTGGGAGTTCATCTTGACCCCAAACTGACATGCGATCAACATGTTAATTATGCTTGCTCCAAGATATCAAAACATACTTATTTACTCCGGAGTCTCAAATGAATAGTTGCAATATCAAGCTTGCTGATAGTTTATCATGGCTATATACATTCCACCATAACATATGCTATTTTAGTATAGGGTCATGCCACTTCTATGAAAAAAGTTTGAGCTCTTCAGAGAAAAATTATTAGAATCATATCTGACCTTGATTTTAGAGCAGTTTTCCAAGTTGAACATACTAACTGTACCCTGTGCTATATACTTCAGAGTCTTATTTATGTCAAAAAACATATACATAACTTTGAAACAGAAGTGAGACTCACTCTTATAATAATACCCGAAAGGGCACAACATACTTATGTAATAAATTTCTAATACTTAGTAAAACGCGGGTCGCTACTAATTATTTTTTAACATAATAAGTATCTCCCCAAATTCAAATTCTTAATGACAATAATTTTAAATCAAGGATAAAAAAATACTTGTAAAACTTTCTGAAAATAACAGTTTAACCTTTTCTTTATTTGTTTCTAAAATCCCGGTCCGATACGTCCAATAGTTAACTAACAATAAACGTTATAAAAAAAATCTATCTTGGGAACAAAGGCGCGTAGGTGACTTATCTTTGTTAAATTGCCATAAAAATAAGCTCTATTTAATGCAAAAAGAGCGAATTCCCGAGCGGCTTTTGCCTGACCTTGGGACAATTTGTTTATAACGCTGTTNCATTCCACCATAACATATGCTATTTTAGTATAGGGTCATGCCACTTCTATGAAAAAAGTTTGTGCTCTTCAGAGAAAAATTATTAGAATCATATCTGACCTTGATTTTAGAGCAGTTTTCCAAGTTGAACATATTAACTGTACCCTGTGCTATATACTTCAGTGTCTTATTTATGTCAAAAAACATATACATAATTTTGAAACAGAAGTGAGACTCACTCTTATAATAATACCCGAAAGAGCACATACTTATGTAATAAATTTCTAAGACTTGGTAAAACGCGGGTCGCTACTAATTATTTTTTAACATAATAAGTATCTCCCCAAATTCAAATTCTTAATGACAATAATTATTTTAAATCAAGGATAAAAAAATACTTAATAAAATATGCCTTTCACTGTTTTGATGATTTTATTGACAGTAATACAGGGTGTCCCGAAATACATGCAACAAAATTTGGCCACATATTCTTAATACAAATTTAGGGGTATGTTTTATTTTTGCCAAGTGGCCCTCTCTTTCGGAATTACAGCGTGGGCCCCCTTGTCTTTGGAACCAAAAAAATTTGTTCGCATATTTAAATTTTTTAAAAATTATCAGTCCACTAGAAAGCCATTAAATTTAGAAACTTTTTGTTTTTTTATACTTTTTTCTTAAAACCCAATGTTTTCGAGAAAAATGTCAAAATGTCATCGAATGCATATCGTGATTCGTCATTTTCCTCAAAAACATTGCGTTTTATGAAACAAATATCAAGAGATAAAAAGTTTCTAAATTCAATAGCTTTCTAGCTAACTAATAATTAAAAAAAACAAATTTGCGACCAAATTTTTCTGGTTCCAAAGACAAGGGGGGCCACAAAAAAGTATCTTACGGGGGTTTCTCGTCAAAAAGCGTAGCACTGTGATATTCCACCTGTGTACCAAATTTAGTGATTCTCGTACAACATGGCTTTGAGATATAGAAAAATACTTCTTAAGGGCAGATTTCAGGGGGCTGTAACTCCGAAACAGGGGGCCAGTTGCCAAAAAGAAAAAATACAGGTCCCCTAAATTTGTCTTAAGAATCTATGACCAAATTTTGTTGCATGAATTTCGGGACACCCTGTATAACTCGAATATGAATGTTATCATTAATCTTAGAGTGCCGTTTAACCTATTTATTTTAATTATATGTTGTTTATGTATATTTGTATAACAGTTAGTTAATTGCTATCATTGTATTGTTATTTACCACTTTTTTTTTGGACTCGTGTAAACTGTAACACTAGGCTTTATAAATAAAAATAAAAATAAAATAAATGTAAAACTTTCTGAAAATAACAGTTTAACCTTTTCTTTATTTGTTTCTAAAATCCCGGTCCGATACGTCCAATAGTTAACTAACAATAAACATTATAAAAAAAATCTATCTTGGGAACAAAGGCGCGTAGGTGACTTATCTTTTTTAAATTGCCATAAAAATAAGCTCTATTTAATGCAAAAAGAGCGAATTCCCGAGCGGCTTTTGCCTGACCTTGGGACAATTTGTTTATAACGCTGTTAGTTGTAAAGGGCAACTAAATTTCAACTTTTTAAAATTTTTCTATTTCGATACGTTTCTTTGGATCAATTAGAACCTATATCTACGATATCAACTTCTAAAATTAACGATTTAAGAATTTAAGAAGACGAACGAAATTAATTAACAAATATCTGCAGCAATAATTTCACGGACAATCGAATTGACCTTTAGTACACATGTTCATCACTGTCTTTTCCATAAACATCAACATACATTGTTTTTTGCAATGATTATTATGAGCAATTCTTGAAAACTGATTTTTCCACGTTTGACCTTTATTTTACAGTTAACAAATAGGTGAAAAATGACTTTAGGTACCTTAAATTGCAGATAATTCAATTGCCTTCAACAGAAAATTACTAATTTTTGAATAGGTTGTCTATATTTTCAATGGGCAGTAAAAAAAATAATAAAACACGTAATTTTACCACTTATTTGCAATTTGCCAACTTACTTTTTTGATATTAATATTCTACATACCCTTCCCTATCATAAAGTGCAATAAAATGTCTACTGATACACTTTTTTAATTTTCAGTTTTTATAATCTAATTAGACTGGAGTATTGAAGAATATTTAAATTATTATTATTTATTGAGATTATCATCAAAATAACTTCCTTTTTTTCCTTCTTGTCAGTATTATGTTGATTTTTTCTCTCTCAATTGTCTAATATTGCTGTTAGCATTACCAATTTTTATTAAAATAAAAAATAAACATGAAAACTGCTTAGAAATGATCTATCTTCAATAATTATTTTGTATGCATGTCACATTCATTCATTTTTCTAACTTTAATTACCTTTACCGTACATTTGTTCACCAAATCTACGGTGTTATTTTTGTGTATCTCTTAAAGGCAGTGCTCCCGTTCCAACGGTGTTAAAGACAGATGGATCAGAAGTTGAGGACCGGTTTGCTGATACTGGAATCGAAGAAGACAGAGACGCGGAAGCGTCGGAAGTTTCAGAGGTAAGAGCCGTGTACCAACCAGAAGTGGAGATGAAGGTGGTGAAGTACGACCCTGAAACCGATAAAGGTCAAAAAGTCCAGGAGGCGTACATTGACAAGGATGCTGAGCAAGTGGACCCGGTTATTCTTAACGATCACAGTTACAACAGGTAACTTTTAACGTTAATTTTTTTTACTAGTGTTATTTTGAAATATCTAGACAGGGTGTCCCAAAAGTGACGCCCGTCCTTCTAGGATTTAATTAAGGAAGCAAAAACAAATTGAAAATCAAGAGTGCAAAATTTTCTGATTGTTTTTCTTTGTCTCAAAACTGAGGTTTGTGCCTATGGGGACCAAGACAAATAATTTATAATCAATAGTAGGTAAATATAGTTTCCGATTGTCGGTTGTACCTAGGTGTAAGGAATTATTTTAATCTGAAAAGGATATAGAAAAACATTTTAATAATAAACTGTTTTATAAAATGGAGAGGAAAAAATGTATAAAATAATGTGCTTAAATAATAGAAATTGTTTTTACAGAAGGTGTTCAAGTAAGTAGCCTTCTACCCAAAACAAAGATTAGCACGATTAAACAAGTATGAACCCTTTGTAGCATCTCTTGGTCTATTAACGCGACAGCAGCGTGTATACGAGCTTCCCTGTGAATATTTTCTTTTAAATAACCTCAAAAGGAAAATCTAAAGGATTCAGATCTGGTGATCTAGGAGGTCATGCTATCGGTCCACCTCTTCCAATCCATCTGTCTGAGAAGTTTTGGTTCAGATAATTTCATACGCGTAAACCAGTATGATGAAACCAATAATTTAGTCTAACTGCTAACGGAACGTCATCCAGCAATGGCAATGGTAAGTTTTCGTTTAAAAACATACAGCTGCAGTAAATACAGCTCTGAACTACATAATTATTTAATAATCCGTCCCAAATGTTTATTTTTATGTTTTTGAATAATTTTTTGAATACTTACCTCAACAAAGAAAAACAATCGGAAAATTTTCCACTCTTGACTGTCGATTTGTTTGTACTCCCTTAATCAAAACCCAGAAGGACGCGCGTCACTTTTGGGATACCCTGTATATCTAAAAAAAACCACTAATACATATTAATTTTCTCAAGTTTTATGAAACATTTTTATATGTATATGTGTCAGTCCCCTCAAGGCGTGTATAATAGATATAATTTATGTTTTATTCTTTTATTTTATTTAATGGTACATGAAGAACAGCTAATAATGTTTATATTTAAAACAACTTCAGACGCGTTAAATTTAATGTTATAAATGTTTTAATAACGCAGAATGAACATGTTATTTACTAGACCATAGTATGTAATAATAAATATGTAAAAGACGATTATGTGAACTTGTAATTCTGAAGATAGTTCCTTTTATACAGGGTGAGTCACAATTAGATGTACACATTTTAACCGGAGCTTTTTCTAACCAAAATAAATTAATTCATTTAATAGATAGGGTGTTAAAAAATATTTCGAACTCTTTAGATTCAGTTTTTGTTCTCAATTATTTTCTGATTAAGTTTAGGGATTAACGATTTAGATGGAGTTCTTCATTTTACAGGAAAGTTTAAATAAATATACTTGTGAGGAACTGTTCGGAAAACCATTTTAGAGAAACATTTATTCAAAGGTTCAAATATTTATTATAAATTTTAAATTTTTGATATTGTTAATATTCTTGTTAAGTTTGTCTGAAGGTATTGATTTACAGCATAATTTTATTTTTTTTTCTGTATTTGGGTATTTTGCCACCTATGAAAAAAATATATTGATCAAACTAACTTAGATCCTACTACAAAACCTTTCTCTGACACTTCTTTTTTTCGCGTGACAAAAACTTATTAGTTTAATCATATTTGAAATAAATTGAATTCAGCTAAATTTTTTGACCAAATTGTTAATCATCATTTACAGAAAAAAAAGAGAAATTAAACAAAGCTTTAATTCCTAAAACGATGTTACATTGATTTCATTCATAGTTATTCTGGAAGAATATTGGGTTTGTATAAAAAATATTTTAGGTAAAATAGAGAATTTGGGAAACAATGTGTATTAACGGTGCACTTTCATCGCCCTTTAATTTTTCTCTATACTTTTCAGACTCATGTTCATAGAAAATGTTCTGCTTAAATGGATGTTCCAATTGCAGGAAAACATATCAATACAACCCGTCACCGGTCACGACTACCACTACTGTTAATCTATCAATAAAATTACTTTGCATTAAAAACTGTTTTTCTTGATCTTCGTTTAAATTCAGCATAGCGCATCGAAATTCCGAAAGACGTTTAATGTATGTTCAACAACGATACTCGATGTATGAAATTTCACATTTACACACCTTAACCTGTTTTTCGAGTGTTACTTTCATTGACCCAAACGCTTCCGTCCAAGAGTATTATCTAAAAATATATTCAGAGATGCGCTGCCAACTATGACATTTTTCACCTTCCCAGACATATAAAAAAAATTCTTGTATATCCGCTTTGGCAGGACCATCAGAAGTAATTAATCGAAACGATTTTTTATTAAATAAGTAACTAAATATTAATTTAACTTCTTTTTCGTGCAAATTTTGCGCTTAGCATATAGAAATAAAACAAAAAGTCGTTATTGCGTAAATTTGTACTAAATTTGACATACTACAGAGCAACCTTCATAAATGTTTACAAGCCACGTGACTGGTGACGAAAATTCTCTAAATCTTGGTAACGCCAAGATTTATTAATGACTCAGTTACAATGAACAATAACAAACCGTTACTTCTACGCTCGAAATCATGCGATCGCTGATTGATTCAATAGTATCTCGTGAAAAATTGCATCAATGACAGCCAATGAAACAGAATCCTGCATTTTAATGTAATCTTGATCTTATTGTTTTGATAATTTTTTAATTTTTAATTTTACTGAAATTTAATTGTCAACATAAAGGAAATAAAATTACTGTTCCAAAACTAAATCACTGGACTCTGTATGTTATAAGCCTTTGCTGCTACACTACTTATATATAAAGTAATAATTATGGCACTTATTATAAACCTGTTTTCGAAATTTCGTTTTTGAGAGATATTTTACTTCGAATGCCGTTTTATCCATCTATTACTTGTTAGAAGATATTTAGAGATAACTTATTTCTTAAAAACATTAACACCCTGTTTCACAAAAACGGTGCGATTTCGAACACACTTTATATAGCAATGTGACATTATTTTTACTTCCTGGATTTGCGTGATTAAAATTCGGGACACTTTTTACTTATACTTCCTCTGTTTCACAGCTATAGCTACATTAATGATACGAATGAACTTATCTATAATAGACTATATAAGAAATATTTTATAATGATTTGTCACATACACAAAATATACAAAATGTATAATATTTAGGAAAGACCCCAGAAATAATTTGTAGTATTTTATATAGCTTCTATATATTCCTCCAAACGTTACTATGCTTTGTTTTTTTACACCATATACACTGAAGGCCAACAGAATATAAGAGCAAAAAATCCAAGATGGTATTGTGGAAATTATTATATGTATTTTCTTATACATGATTAAAATACATGAACTAATGAGAAGAAGCGATGCATTTAACGGGTTTATCATACTTTTGTCAATTTTTAAATTAACAAAGAATTTTTCCAGTATTATTTTATCAAAGAAAGCAATCAATGTTTGTATTCTTCAGTTCAATATCACAAACTTTATAGGTTCTAACGGTTACATTTCTATTTACTTGTCACGTCAGAAAAGTTTCTCTGTAGATATATACAAATGTACAAATGTAATTTTAAAACATATTGTTTACTTCGTATTAGAAATTACGATTTTAACATGTATTTCTACATCAAAGAATAATAAGGTATTTAAAACACCCAAGCTCATTCCTCATTTTAATAATAATTGTTAAATTTACCTACTTATTTGATCATACAGCACCACAAAACAAAGTGAGCTGAACCGTGGACAAGACCAGTATGTCTGATAGTGGTAAACCCAAATCTAAAGTCGGAATTCCCGGGTTGGTCCTGTTTACACCCTAACATCAAGAAACTCCTCTAGAAAGCGGTTTTCGTGATTTCAAACTAATATGAGCAGTCAGTAATAGGAAAAAAATCATGACCCCGTAACGTCACAACTGAGGATGTAAACCACGAAAGGACGTTTAAATATCTTATTTTTGATATGTCCAAACATATAAATCTGAAGTTGTGAAATCAGGGCTTCGGGTATTGTAGACCACAAACCCCTAGTAATCAATCTATCACCATAAAATTATTGAAGATATCTTGCAGTATCTGCTACAGTATGTGCTGTAGCTCCATCTTGCTGAGAATACTCATGCTGGAGTTCACAATCATGTATTAATTCCAGGGCTTGTAAAGTGTTACTTCTTAGAAAAAAATTGGGCCTATTATCCGTTTTCTTGAAACTGCTACCCAGATACCTATCTATATTCATAACTAGATAAATATACCATGCCTCATCGGAATAAAACGTCAGGTCTAATAAATTATCGTCGTTTAAATGTTCATTGAGCCATTGACAATATTGTACTCGTTGGTTGTGATCAGGAAGACCTAACTCTTGCACAACAGAAATCCTATAGGGATGCATATGCAACTGATTCCTTAACGCATTGTGATAAGTCACAACTGATACATATAGGGACAAAAATCTATCTGCATTCCGTGTATTACAGGAATCTACAGGAAATAGGAATGTAAGAAATGAAACAACCTTAAAATATCCGTTTAACTTACGGAAAAAACGGCGAATTTTCGAAGTTCTAAAATTTTTTTTTTTTTCAACTGAACCAACAAAGATTAATGTGTAGAAAGGCACAAACATTGGTAAATTCTACAAACAACTGACTTAATAACACAAAAAAATACGAAAGCCTCTGGATTGACATTTAATCTAGGGTTCCAGTTGGTGATTTTTCCTTGGTAATTACTGAAACACCAACTTAAGAAAATCAAATTTACAGAGCTCCAAAACAAATCTGGTCACGTGGAACTCGGGCATTTATGAAAGCACTGCATAACCATGGAACTCTGAGGATTGAGTCTGTAACCCTGATGTAACTTCGTAATCATTTCATCCCTGGCATGCAAGCTCCTATAGACCTACGATCTAAGGCATACAGATTAGAGTTACAAAGTCATCCAGGGTTTTTCTCTTTGTATCTGCACTAAAAAACGAATATTACTTTCTTGACTGTACAGTCAGTGATCGTTTGATTTTACTATTAGAATCGTTCAAAAAGGGTTACAGAGTTTTGAAGTTATTGTGCAAAGATGTTTCTCCAGTCACTGACTACTCAAATCCGTTTGAAATCTTAAAAACTGCATTCTGGAAAAGTTTCTTGATGTTAGAATCACAGCATGTACTATTCTGAAAATTCTGACTTTAGATTCAGATTCAAGAGTGTCAAAATACCAGGGATTACAATAATCCACAGTCCAGATCACTTTTTTGTGGCGCTGTATAATTTCCTGCAATAATTATTGTAATACATACTTCGCTGACTTTGTAGATAATAAGAAATAACTTAATCTAGTGTAGAAACTAACTAATTATTAACTTAATGTGGACACTGAAACTTCCACCACTGAAAAATATCCCCAAGGAAAATTTCTCCAAGTGAATGAAAATTTTCACATTATGATATAAAATGTTTGTATTAATACAGTAAGATGTCGTGGTATTTCTCAATACCGAAAATGCTATAAATGTTGTCACTGTTAAAATAATATTGAAACGTTGATTAAAAAAATATGCTACCATATATATACCATTTCATTTTTATTTCAAAAGTAAAGAAAATGTGGAATATAGTATATTTTTTATTTGACACTGGCTTTGAATACGTTATATGAAATAGTAAAAAAACTTTTCTAGTATGACTAATAAATAAAAATGTTACCATTAGAACATTTTTAATTGTCGAATTAGAGTAGGACAGCAGAATATATTTAAACTAGAGTAGCTGCAACTATTCACAATGCTAAAATAATGATAAAACACTAATTAAAAAAATGTGTTGCCTGAATCTAACAGTTAATTAAAAAATGTGTTCTGTAACTAGTTCACGTACTTTTAGTACGATATTTAAAATTGTTAAAAATATATATCGGGTCAACTTTTTTAAGTCCATGGTCATTCCGTTCTTGCCAAAGTTGCCCAATAACAAAACAGAAAAATGATGGTTCTAGGTTAATGAGAATAAGAAATAAGAATAATTTTGTAAAAGTAATTGTAGGTTTCAACCAATCAACTACTATTAATTGACTAGTGAGATACGGCAAAATCAAACATTTTTATTAAGGAAGTGAAAACTGCGTAGTCATGTACTTGTTTATTGTTAAATGCTTATAGAACCACGCCTAACGAGTACAAAACGAAAGTTCCTCCGGCAAGGAATGCATGTAGATTACATCTCCTACAGCTCTAACAATTACCGAACCTCCTACCTTTCCAGGTACCTGCCTTTGAAAGTGAACGGAACTCAGTTCCCCATACCAGACGTTCCAGAGCTTAAGGGGAAGAAAATTTCCAGCGTTGTGGTTCTTGCTCCCGTCTCGTACGATTTTTCTTCAAAAAGAGAAGCAAGAGAGGCCTCGCCAAAGTCTGACGATTTAGATCTCATACAGGGTGAAGAGCTGAAGACCTTACTTGCTGATCCTAACGCTGAAAATTATAAGAAGTTTTTGGAAAGCGAAAATAAGACCGCTACTGATAAGCAGGCGGTCATACTACTGGTTACAGAGTAAGTACATGATCACTTTAATTCTGCTTGCTTTAATTCTTTGATTATTTTATAGCTCATTTTATAATTGCAGTAAAAACCTTATATAATCATGTAACGAAAATATTATAAATGCCTCAGAGACTGATAAGTGATAACTAATAACTAATTATTCAAATTTGGCGGGTAAAATCATTGTTTTAAACGGGAATTTTGAAGATTAATGACAGAGATATGACAGTTCAACAGCATGAGCTTACTAAGTAGCAACGTTCTACAGACAGCCAAATTCACTTTGCTTGGAGGCTCCCGTATTCGCTTTTCTTTAGGTTTCATCTCGTCGGCACGCTAATAATTGTAGACTAGACGACAGACGGCCGAGAAGCAAGTTACGTTCTGAATCGCACTGAATGACGTCACAATGCGTTCTTGATCACGTAACAAAATTTAAATTTTGACATAATTTTAAACTATAATTTTTATAACATTAACGAAATAATTTCCATTTCATTTCCTACATCCTTGCTGTACAAGGGGAAGTGTAAGCCCTTTTTTTAATTCTGAGTTACCTGTTGATTTCGCACGAAAAATGTTTCTCTTAAAATTGCTAGGCCAAGACGATTTTATTTAAATTGAACTGTTGTAATCTGAGGAATCTATTGTCACTAATAACGTTTAAATATCTTGCCAGAAATAATGTTGCCAGAATTAAAATAGAAATGATTTCAGCCCGCAAGAAACCGCAAACAAGGAGAAAGAAATATACATGTACGATGTTGCAACTCAAACGGTCAGCAAATTGAGTGGAGAATTATCTTCGGCTTTTGTGGAAGCAGCTGAAGCAAATTCCGAAGGCTCGCCTGAAGAACCAACCGCAGCTGAATCTAATGTCGTAGAAACAAGGGTTCCTTTCGAAGGAAACATTGAGAGAGCAGATGTTGCTCCACCAGGTTCAGACTTGGATGAATCAGCATCAGATGTCAAAGAATCAAAGGTAAATTGAGATGTTGAAAGAAAACAGTAGGTACATAAGTTGCTTTTTAACATTTATTGTATCCCACCAAAATTTAACTAAGTGAGTACTTAACCATTATTATAATGACTACACTTTCATAATATTAAAAAAAACTCTGTTAAACGCTTTATTAAAACAGTGACAATATTTCTTAATTAAATTCAGCACGTTTTGTAATTAATTAATTAAGCAAGAAACGATGGAGACACACATACTGCTTTCACATGACAAAATATGACAGTTCCGCATTATTAATATGCATTGTTATGAAGAATAATTTAAATGTCAAATACATAAAGGCTGTCCAACACAAGAGGGATTCTTCCACAGTTCAATATCAATAATATAATATAACAATATACAGGGTAATTCACAAATGGTGACCAAAAATGAAACCTCGTATTTTTTGGTGAAATATAATGGGATTCTTTCCTATAAAATTTTTATCTAGGATGCCTCGTTAAAAAGATACAGGGTGTTAAAGTCCAAAAAATATTTTTAATTTTTTTAAATAAGTAGGTACCTAATTTAAAAACTAGTAAGTGAAATAATTTGAAATTGTGCACATATATTTATGTAAACATTATATTTTTGTGCCAAATTTGTCATAGTGTTTGTTCCAATTAAAAAAATTAACTTACCCATTATCTAAAATTTGGAACTTCTAACTCTCCTAATCAATGGTTTTATAAGCTAAGTCCTTAATTACTATTTTCTGTTTTAAATATACAGGGTGATTCAGAACTTATGCAAAAGAAAAATTTGAATGTACAGAGGACTCTTACAAATACAATTTTGTAAAAAAAAATCAAAAAGGGCAGATAGAAAATGATTTAAAAATACACTTCAGCACGGCACTGGAAACTGGTCCACTGTAAAACCTGACCTTACGCAAGGCAAAGCATGCAATCGGCGATCGGCACGGCGACAAAATAATAAGAAATGAACGGACAAAAAATTTAAAGAGATTGTTTCCCAAGGAAAGAAATAAGTACAATTTTATAACATCTATTTTATATTAGCAAATTCAACTGCTTTTGCCGCTATTGTTATTATTAATTAATAAAATTAATTTGTGGTTTTAATTAATAAAATAATTCAACATACAATTCGATGTGTAATTTGGGCCTGTCTTACCCAGTTCCTACGAACTAACACAAATGGTTCTGGTTCTTGTCCGTTTTGAACTCATCAATAGTGACCATTTCGGTGCGATACACAGTTTTTAAATAACCCCACAAAAAGAAGTCCAAAGGACCTCGTGCATAATACGCCACACTATTAATTGGGATATTCCTGGTACTTGCTGAGCAATTTAGCTGGTTCTTAATTGGAGATTCTCTTCAACAATATCTAAAATGTGTTCCTCAACTGCGGCAATACGTCGTGGACGCCCTGGACCTCCATCGGTTGCAAATTTCCCGTGTCGCGCCCGCGTTGCACTACCGCGGTAAAAGTAGTTGCATTTGACACACATATACAGGGGAATCGTTCTACTTACAAACGAGAAGCTGCTAAAGCACTTTGTCTTGCTTCACCATAAATTAAAACGATATTCATCAACTCCGAGTTGCTATACACGTAAGCCATTTTTGACACTTGAAAAACTAATGTAAACACTATCGCAACAATGATAATACTAAAATCGGATTGCAATATTCGGAATCGCATAGCACACAACGCGAATGACGCTAGAGACTACATCAGTAGCCCAGCAATGTTGATAATAATACAACTTCAATAAATTTCTTCTCGGGAACTCGGATTTTACAATTTTATTTTTTTTTGGCAATATTGACTCCATTTTTCATGACGCATTTATTCCCTAAGTTGTGAATCACTCATTATTAAGTGAATAATAGATATGATAGATTTTTCCATCTTGTTATCACGTTTTGTAGTGGTATTTTAGAAGAAGCTGGAAACCTAAACCTAAAAAAATAGAATCATCCTATAACCTACAATTTATTATTGAAAATAGACAATTAATATATTTCCAGATTCCAATCATTGATCCATCGCAGGAAGAAGATCTGGAAACAGAGGCATCAGAGCAGTTAGGAAGTTTCGTTGATACTTCAGGGATTCCTGTCAAGACCGAAGAAGATTTGATTGCTTCAGGCAGCGAGTTGTATTTGAATTCAGTGGATAACAATGTTCTGATTAGTTCAGGTTACAGTAGGTCTGATCACTCATAAAAAATATTGCCGTGCCACATTTTAGAACGACCCGTGCTTGTGATAAAAAATTTCAAAAAAAGGTCTTTATATGTGTCAAACAGTTTGCTGGAAGATATACCATTCTGCCAGTTAAATAAGCTAAGTTAAATATACAGAAAACCAGTTGCTTACAATGCTAAAAGAAAATGATAGTTTTACAAAACACGATTTATTATAAATTATTATCATTACTCACTTTCATATGTTATTAAATTTGTTGTTTTGTTGTCTTTTTATCCCTCATAAGGTTTGACTTTTTATGATTTTATTTCATATTATTATAAATTATTAAAATAATGAAACTTTTATCACAAATATACCTAGGAATAAACACACCAATGCCGATGTTGAAAGGAATTATAATATAGAGTCACTAGATTGTGATTCCTATTTTCTTTATGAATAATGTACTATGGAATATTGACCAATGAGTGATGATTTTACAATTTTTTTTATTTACATATAGGTAATCATCACTCTTTGGTTGATTCTAAATCAGTGGTTCATGTTAATATTTGTACATACCCGCACAATAACAATTTTATGAATTTTTTCTCTTTTTACATAAACCACTGATGATCAAAAAAAAGTGTAGTTTCTAAGTTGATGTTATTTTAGATAGAATGTGATCTGAAATAATTTTGTACAGTGTAAGATATAGATACTTTTATACTTTTTATAATAAAAAGCTGTATTTTAATGAATTTGTTTATTTATTTACATAATCCAGTCCAGCAGGCTGTTTTTATGGTGACGACCCATTAGAATATTTCAGAAACTATTTAAATTTAAATTTTGGAAATTTAGGCTTTGTGGTTTTCGGGGATGCTCTCTTTAAATAATAAATGCCATCGTTGTAGCCCTTCCAGTTATGTTGGAAGTCGCTATCTACTTGCTTATTTTAAATGGAACACCCTGTATATTTTTGCATATTTGGATTCTACGCGTAATTTGAACCAATATGTCATAAGTCATCATTTGCTGTTAATCCGATAGTGGTAGTTAAATATTGATTTGAAAATAATGGAAAAAAATCGTAATCAAATGTTGATATTTAAAGTTTATTATTATTAAAAAATTGGAATTGTAGAAATGAAAAAATATCCATCGTTTAGCATATTATTATTATTTATTACCACTTGCTATAATACATCACTGATGGCTATATCAAAATTTTAATTAGGCTAAAGAAATGTCTTCAAATGAGATAGGTATATATTTATGCGATGAAAATATCAGCCGATTATAAAGTATATAGATAAATATAAGAAAACAGAAAAAAACCTTTAATATATCCTATATCTTAAAAATATTTATGATTGTATGTTCTTGAAAAAAATATCATTAAAAGGCTTATTATTTTGGATGAAGAAAATATGAAAATATGTGCACACCTATTTAATTATTACAGTCAGATACACACATACAATACCAAAAATTTATTTTTTCTTTAAATTTTCATTCGAATTAATTTTCACTAAATTTTGTTTTGCCTAAACATTTTACAGCAGTAAAAATGTTCTATCTTATTAGAATTAGTATACTCCACTAAACAATTTGTCCAGAGATACATGGGTAGATAGTAAATGATAATAACAATAATAATTATTATTATAAATCACTAACAATAATTTTCTACATATAAGTAAATCAACGAAAATATTTTAGATGGCGGCAGTAACAAAACGCTACGCTGTATAACTGGTTGCATAAGGAATAGATAAACAACGCGCAAGTGTCAAGATTTAGGGAATAAACTGTCAAATTTTAGTCACTAAACAATCGTTGTAATGTCAGTGCACGTAGTTTAGTGCGGTTTTAAAATAATATGGCCGTAATGGAAGGCTCCCTGAGTAAATGGACTAATGTTATGAAAGGATGGCAATACAGATGGTTCGTTTTAGACGATAATTCTGGACTACTCTCCTATTACACAGTGAGTACATGCGTTCCCAATATATTGGCAAACCTAACCCAAATATAAATCGGGCAAGTTTGGTGGGTCATCTCAGAATTTTGTAAACAACATTATGTGGGTGTAACTTTTTCATTAATTGGATAATTGGTCAATTTCAGAGCAACCATTGACCATATAAGACGTACGATTAGTTAGTTCAATAGCGCAGAATGTGTTTGACGTAATTTATAATGTGACCTCTACAAACGGTTTACATGTTTTCAAGCTTCGTAATGAATGATACACCGAGTTAATAAACCACAGAATTGTTAAATAATTGTTTTGCTCGATGTTATCACTAATTTAAAGTGTGTGTATAAACGAATAACGAAAATACATAGCCACTAATTAGCATAATCGACAGCGATGAACGGTTAATCATACGAGCTAGCCGGTTTTCTTGTCAGTATGAATTTTAACGAATTTAGGTTGTGTTGATATTTTTGAAAGTTTAAACGTACGAAAATTAAGTAGTATGTAAGTATTTTAGTAGAATAGATCATTTTTAATATAAATGTTTCTTTTATTTTTCTGTAATTGAAAATTGCAATGAAAGCACATACAAAAGAAAGTAGGTACATATCAAGTAGATATTGCTGAGACAATCCAACAGAATAGTATGGGCATGTAGTCCGTAGAGTAGTCATTTCCCGCAATATCAGCGATTAGAATCATCTTATCTAAAAGTTTAAATATCTTTTGCATACCTAGATTTCTGGTATCATCAATCACTTCATTTGATAGGATTATTAGAAAAATTTAATTTGAATTTATTTGAATTAGCCTTAAAAATAAAGTAATACCACATTTTCATTTTGGTATTAGTCTAGTACCTGGTCGAATCGCTGCAAGCAAGTACAATCTGATTGTTATGTTATATGATGTACATGGTACAGTACAAACTTAATATACAAATAAGTAATCTATGTATCTATAATATATAGAGTGTCCAGAAACGATGTGCAACAAATTTAGTGTGCTTATACTCATTAACACAAGGGTACAAGCTAATTAATCGCAAATAAAAAGTTATAATTTAAATGTCTTTCCCCTTAACTGCAGATTGCTACCAATAATAAAAATACCAAACTAAGAAAATATCGCTTAAGAACTTTGAAGTTATACAACACGGTAAATATTGAATTTTTTGCAAAAGTGTCATATGAACTTGCCTCATTTTTTTATGGCTATAATAAAATTATTTTTTCTTGTTCTTGTGACATCTTGGATAGATAAGAGAAAGATCTACCGGTCCTAATCCAGTAAAATTAAGTGTTCTGTAGTTTCAAATAGTTAATACCTAATTTAATTTTTTCTGTGCGTGTCCATGTTTATCTCAAAAAAATCCATTATATTTGTACGAGTATTAATATATCATGTTATGTAAAGGTCATTGATTGATACCTTATATTCGTTACTTAATCCTTGGAATTGTTATTTCATTATCACTTTAATTTCGAGTCGAATTTTTAAACTATCATGTGCAATGAATAGCAGTGAGAGTTTTGTCTGCATACAAGTTTTCAGGTTCTGTTCATCACAATCCAAATCCGTCACTTGGCATTTATACTCATTCTAATATAAAGATAAATTTTAAAACTGTACAACAGGTGCAAAATTGATATATGTAATTTTTGAAGGGTTCAAGTCAGTTCGACTAAATTCGTAGAGAATTTAAAAAGTCCATGGAATTTATGTTGTAAATACATGTCAGTTCACGTGAATTCGTATATTAAAGAGAATACTTTGTGAAAAAATACTCAGAAATTTGGTAAAACCTGTCTTAAATTGAAAAATAAAAAAATATTTCAATAAATGTCTGTATTTTATATGTTCATAGTTTTAGGCAGTAGCTACAAAAAAAATTGATTTTACTCTCATGAGTAGACCATTATTTACCTACAAATATAATCGGCGGTAGATTTTTAAAATGAAACAAACGCAAATTTATTAAATTTGTAACTTGTCCAAAAAATATTCTGTATTTACGATTACGTATCCAGAATAAAAAAAAATTGTTTTCGAAAAAATCGCTTCCAAAAAAAACATCACTGGAGAAAGACCAACTGGATCATAGTAACAATTCAATCGCAGAAAAATAAATGCAGACGGGTCTGAGTGAATTAAGGCAGAGATACATTGTTGACACGTCACATACTATCATGTAAGCTCACATCATACAGAAAAATGATAACTTACAACTTAGAACATATTTTTTGGTACCTACTTAATAAAAACGTTTATTTTATATTACTTATCACCGAGCTTATCACTATTTGCTTTCTGTGCTATGTGTAATTCGTCCATTTTATTTAACCGTAAGCCTTATTTAAGTTAAACATTTATGTGGATAGTGGTACGATGTTGAAAGTGACCAACATCAAAAGCGTGTTACATCGTCATTGGATTGTTCAAGGAATTGCCAACAAACGTCCACACGATTTACTTTCTGTTCGGAACAAATTTTTGGTGCAACTCAATGCATGTTCAATTTTTCTGTCAAAAATGCATGGCTTGACTCAACTGAGATGCTAACTTCTTCTGCAATTTCTCTGACAGTCTGTCGGCGATTTGCAAGCGCCAGATCTTTGACTTTCTGAACGTGGGAGTCTCAGTTGAAGTCGAAGGCCTTCTTGGTTGAGGATTATCTTCAATTGACTGACGACGATATTGAAATCATGGAAACCATTGCGTATGACCCAGAGCATCATCTCCTTAAGCATTAAAAAGTTGAAACGTTTCCGTAAAAGTTTGCCCCAATTCCATGCAAAATTTTACTTTTTATGCCCATTAACGCTTAATTCAAAAAGTTCGGTTATTTTCTGAACAGACCTCGTATACCAGCTTTAAGATGTCACTTTCGAATAAAGGGTACATATATTTGTGAACTGAAAATTCCAATGCCAGTCTGTGCAGAAGTTAGAAACAGATAAATCGCCAAATCGACACGCCGTGTAACACCTAACATTCAAATAAATAATACAGTTTAAATTGTAACGTGTTACGGATATGTTTCACATTTCTAAAGGCTAACTTCAAAACTACTTAAAAAAAACAAATTTTGAGACGAGGTAGAATTAAAGTTAAAATTTTACTCATCCATCCTGATATGAGACTATCAGAATAATTATAGTGTTACATTCGCTTTGAGTTAATCCATTTTTAACGCAATTCAATTTCTTCTTGGAGGCAATTATAGGCATGATATTAATATAAATTACTGTTATGTATATTAAGCACGTCTTCTTAATACCACGTATTAATAAGCGCATGGAGAAAACTTTCAATCTCAATCCACTGACATATCCTCGGACATATCTTTGTATACCGTTCTAAGAACAACAGATTCACTTTTCTAGTGTCGACGAAACCCTGTATGTATGCCTTGCTATGGGAACTGAAAGTTTTCTTTCTATATTGAATTGACCCGTTTTAAACCGTAACCTAATACTAGGCACATTCAGTAATATTTAATTTACAACTTGTTTTTACATTTTCCCCAAACGTTTAACCTCCTAAATATGCATAGGCGTAGCTACAATTTTTGCTTGGGGTGACGGGGTGAGCCCAGGGCTGCAAGATCTTAGGAGGCCTCAAAAAAAGCTCTCGCAATCAGCGACTTATAATATAAAATTTGAACACATTTTTATTTGTTTCTTAAAAAAAAAAAAACTTACCAATATGACAAATATAATAATATATCTTTTTTCTGGGGTGGGTGAAAAAATTATATCGATAACTTAATACATAAACCACTAACACACGCGACAGCTACTAGCTACAGAGCTTTCATAAATGATTATATTCCACGTAACCGCCGGGCTTAGACAACCAACAGTGCACTGTTGGTACTGTCTACCAAAAATCCCGAAATTTTACCGTCACCAATATTAACGATTCGTTTACAATGAACGATGACAAACCGTTACGTCTCCGCTCGAGATAATGCGATCGCTGATTGGTTGAATAAAATCTCGTGAAAAATTGTACCAATCACTAACCGGCGAAACAGAATGTTGTGTTTTAATGTTATCTTGATCTTATTGTTTTAATATTTTTTAATTTTACCGATATTTAATTACCAGCGTGAAGGAAATAAAATTACTGTTCCAAACAAAATTACTGGTCACGTGACTTGTAATCATTTGTGAAGGACTTGTATTATCTCAAGTTATTTATATGTAGTATACTTCTAAGTTTTTTACCTTATTTGTGGTATAGTTTTAGTTTTTTCCTGTTTATTAATATTTGTGCCAAAGGAATCAGTTGACAGTTATTTTTATTAAACTATTTTTACTTTACCAAAATCGCATTTAAAAATAGTAGATAAGTTCCACTGTTGTAAACGAGAGGCAAGTCTCGTACAAGATCATTTATTTAATTCATTTTAATTTGGCGTACCATCATCTTTGAACGTTAAATCTTCATCAGAATTTGTCAATTGTCATACAGAAGTAACAATCATTTTCGTGATTTGAGGGCTCTCTCTACAACATTGGTGATCCAAATTGAAAATAAACTTTTTCTCCTGGTGCCCAACGTATTAGAGCTATCATGAAGTTTCTCCAAAAACATGCGACACATACTTTTTGTAAAAATTATGCAGATATGCTGTTTTCAAAGATTCCGATATAGGTGTTCCTTTTTTTACAAATATGAATTGTTCACAAATGTAACAAAAACGATCAGGACTTAATTTACACACTCTACTAGACATTTTATTAAAAATAAAACCACTTTCTTTCAAAAAACTTAAAAAAAAAATATTTTTGAATCAAAGTAAATGGGTATTTAAATTAAAGTAATTCTCGTACTAACAATACGAGACGTGATAAAAACAATTTAAACACTACCTTTTATTAGTTAAAGGTAACATAAGAAAATAAGGATTTCATCGGAGGTATATAAAAAATGTTAGAATAGAACCTCGAATAGAACCAGTGTTATCATTTATTAATTATTTTTAGGGAGAAATTATA